TTATGAGCTGCAAGCTGTCTGTGAAGTCCAAAAGCACACACTAGATGCACTGGCCTACAGTTGTAGACTGTAATAAGAGTCCTTGGTGATGGTTTTCATTTCACAGCACATATTAATCAAAATTCACATGGACCTAGGAATGAACCAATTTTGGGTAGCTGGGCAGATTGATGTCTAGCATTATCAAATTCAGTTGTTTACCATTTTATTAGTATTCTTTCTTGGGTGGTTGAACTCTCTCAGACACTCATAAAACAAAAATTGTATCATTAATAATTTATCTTTGAGTATCCTGAAGCTCTTTGTAGCATCTTGATTTAAATTAGGAATGGGCTCATTGCTTGTTGTGGGTGCACCATTCCACTACTTTTTGTAATACTGTTTATTCTAATGATGCAAACTTTTCTGTAACAATCAGTTTACTGGATGTAGATGTCATATTTTTAAACAGTTGATCATTTTATCAAAAATTTTTTTCTAGATTATTGTGGAATAACACCTGGAAATGTAAGATGCTATATTTGAGGTGAACTTTTATTAATGTAGGATATTGTGAAATGAACAAGTAATTGAAAGAAGTGACATTAACTGCAGCAGCCCACAAAGCAGGAAACTCTTTAGTCTAAATGTAGTGATGATATTGCTGACCAATTTGTGGATTTCTCATTAGATACATGACAAGTCCACATTTCTCTTCTTTCTGTTTACCAGTACAGATATGTTATGACTGTAGTGATGCTTTGATTCCTTTATATTATATGTGAAACAGGAGCTAAATCTTATATACATAATAATTTTTCCAGTAAAATAGGCTATATTTTTACATATTTTGGATCACATGCTGTTATAATTCTTTTGAACTGTGTTCTTTTTTTCACCATACAAAAATTTAATTTTCTTTCTTTAGGTTAATAAATTGTATAACAATAAATGCTCTTTCCAACTAGCCATTACAACATTTTGTACATATTCTTCACACCATGACTGAGCTGGCTATTTTTTTTTACTGATAATCCAGATTTGGAGAGTAGCAATAGTGTGTAGCTATAGTGTACATAGCATATCCTAAACTACCAATGTTATACTGATAATCAAGATCAAGTGAGCTGTGATAATGTGTAACGTTGTTTCATTGTACACCCTGAACTGGTCAGTATTCTGCTAATAATCCAGATCAAGTGAATAACAACAGTATTTAGCTACTTGTGTATGGAAGCACATTATACTAATATAATAATAAGTGAGCAAACAATGATTTATAAGATACCTGAAGAAAACCAACATTTTATCCAAACAAGAAATATTTTCCCTCAAAAATAAATCACTTCACTATGCTTATAAACTGTTGTTTGCAAACTTATTATTATAACAGTATTTAGCTGTTACATTGTAACTCCAAAGTTATCCAATGTTATACTGATAGTCAAGATCAAGTAAAATGCAACAGTGTGTAACATTGTTTCATTGTACACCCTAAACTGGTCAGTATTCTGCTGATAATCCAGGTCAGTAAGTAACAATATTATTTAGCTGTTATATTGCAAGCCCTGAGCTTTCCTGTATTTTACTGATAAATTCAGATGAAATACATTGCTATTTTACTGATAAATTCAGATGAAATACATTGCAACAGTTTGGCTGAGCTGGCTAGTTTATTACTAACAGTTCCACCAGTTTATATTTTTATCTTCTTCACCGTCTTGACTAGTTTAATGCTCACTTTGTGGTGTACCTTATTTTCACACTTACCTATATTTAAGAACTATATGGTCAATAGTAATTGGAAATTAACAAAAGATTGTAGATTTAAAAAAGTACATTTTGTGTACATTTTAAGCAAATCTCTTACTACTGAAAAATAAGATTTCATTTAGTGGTATTAAATTCGGTGACTTGAAAGATCTTAAACTTTTAAAAGAAAAGGGCCCTCATCTATGGAAGAGACAAAATATAGACCTTATGCACACTAGATATCATGCTCACTTCCAGTTAGAGGAATATGACACTATATTAGATGGAAATAGACATGCAAGTTATACTAATAATTATCAACTTATTTTTAGAAAAACAAAAAATTGTAAATTGTTGTGCAGTTAAATGTTACAATGTTGATGACGGACCACCATGTCTTTTGTTTTATGTAATACCTGCAGCCTCAGTTGACCCAGTTAGATGTGATAAATGGATCACAGCTACATATATAAAAAGAACTGGCAACCAACCAAATAAACTAGACTTTAGTAAACAATGTATATCAAGTAAATCTAAGTTTTTAATTTTAGACTTTAAATTCACTTTTATATAGTACCAATTAAGAAAGCTAATCTTAGCTA